ACTTGTCCCTGTGCAGCAGCCAGTTCCTGTCACCATCTCTCTTTCAGAGGACTCCTGATGGATTTGACTCGGTGCCACTGAAGACATCCTCAGGAGGCCCGGACATGGACCTGTGAGAGGCACTGCCCTGCCTTCCCTGCCTCCTCACCTTGGCACACCACCTTGCAAGCCTGTGGAGATTTGGGTGCCAGCTTCCTGCAACACCTACTGTGGAAATCTCTTCTTTGTGGCCTTATCAGAAGAAGTTTGACTTTCAGATCTTTTGTTGTTTTTATAGAGTACCCAAACCCTCCTTTCTGCTTGCCTCAAACCTGCCAAATATACCCACACTTCATATATTACTCCCTTGCTTGCATCTTGTTTCCCAAAATGGTCCAGCCGCCAGAGCCATATAGCTTCATCTGCTCATAATTCTTACAGCCCTAGAATGAAAAGATTTCTCTTTTCTCAAGTATAGAAACTATTCCTCTGTCCTCTTATTTAAGGGCAGAAGCAGCTGGGAGTTTCCCTGGTCATGTGTCCTCGGCTCACGATCTCTTTAGGAGAGGCTGGGTGAGGAGAGTATTGGTGTCCCTGACAGGCCATCTTCATGGTCACCTGCATTCATCTCTCCTGGATAAATAGCTCAAACTGAGTGTAATGGACAGGCTGAGGGCTGAGTGACTAAGGCCTGGGTAAGAAAAGGCTTGATAAGCACAGAGAAGCAATAAGGAAGGTTTTGTTTTGTTCTTTAAAGTAGGTACTGAATTCTCTTTTCTTAAGTAAAAGATAAATTTCTCACTGGAGCCAAAGGAAAGAGTTCACCAAGAAAGTGCACAAAGCCCTGGTGGATCTACTCTATATTTTTAATCTCCCACTACCTCCATATGACACTAAAGAAAACCAGGTAAGCCCCAAACCCGTATGTTCTATTTCCTTTTACCCACAGAGATGACAAACCTGCCAGTGAGGACAATTCCCCATCTTCGAGTGCCCCATTCCTAGAGGCCATATCATGTAACAAGGGTACCATATTTTGAAAGAACATGAGGCCACGGTTTTAACGGGGCCATACTGGGGGACCCGGCCCACAGTAGAATAGACCTGAGATGGTGTGTCTGCTTATAAGCGTGAGTCATCTATTCAGCCACAGAATAAACAACTTCTAGGCTGGCCAAAACAGTAATTGACCCCCAGGCCCAAACCCCAGCAGCAGAACTAGATCAACCTTTAAGGAGAAAAATGAGGGGAGTTGAACAAGGTATTCACTGAACTGGGACACTTCATACTTTTTCTTTTTAAATATGTTTTTATTGATTTTTAGAGAGAGAGGAAGGGAGAGAAACATCAATGTGAGAGAGACACATCAATCGGCTGCCTCCTGCACGTCCCCTGCTGGGGATCGAGCCCACAACCTGGGCATGTACCCTAACCAGGAATCCAACCTGGACCTCTCAGTCCATGGGACTGACACTCAATCCACTGAGCTACACCAGCAGGAAGACACTTCACACTTTCAAGACAATGTCTGTCCCTTTTTCCTGTTCTAATTTTCTTTGCATGCCAAAAAGTTACAAAGATTTCTGACCCCGACTTCTGGCAGCATTTCTTTTGAAAGTTGAATGAGTGGCCTCTGTGTCCCTTTTCTCTACTTTTATACCAACTATAATAATGAACTTTAACTAGAATGGTAAAACCAGAGCAAATGTTTAAATTTCCCTTTTCTTTCTACTACTGACAATTCTCCCTCCCTACTAGGCTAGAGTGACCAAACCCTTGGTCAGGGACCCAGGTGCCCATGGCTTGTGCCTGTCTCCCTTCTTGAGTGGCTATTTGTGACCAGATGGTAGGTATAGAATGGACATGGCATTTCTAAGTGGTTTGCCTGCCACAAAAACAGTTTGCTGGTCTCACTGGCTATTTCTGTCCCAAAAATGGTCTTACAAAAGGGTCAGTGAGAACTGGAGCCCTGTTGTGACAGAAGGCAGGCTGTCCCTTTGATTCAATAAATCTAAAAGCTTTTCTATGGATATCCAAATTCTCCCTCCTCTTGTAGGAGTCAGGATCTCAGAAACTGGCCATGTTGGATTTCCTCCAAAAGGTTGCAGATAGCTAGCTCCTGAGCTCCAGCCCAAGGTTTTCTGTAGCCTCAGCAACACCCTGGGCATCTGCTTGCCCACTGAATAACTTGCTTTTGTGACAAAGGTCACAAAAAATCCTTAGACTATTCTAGAAGCAGTAGGACAAAGTATATATACCCTGTTGACTTCTTTCTTCTGACATCTTGAAACTGAGTGCCCCCGAGCAACCTCAAACTCCACTGATTTAGTCATGATACTTAATGGATCTCCTTTTACTATCCTTTAGTGTACTGCCTTCTGTGGCTCTTCCCTGTGTCCTGCCAGGGACTCCTGAATTATGTTATTGGGGTTACCGGTTGCTAAAACATGATAGATATTTTTCTAAAAAATATTTTTTCTTTATTGATTTTAGAGAGAGGAAAGGAGATAGAAACATCGATGAGAAAGAACATCAACTGGCCACCTCCTGCATGCCCCCCACTGGGGATTGGGCCCACAACCTGGGCATGTGCCCTGACCGGAATCAAACCGGTGACCTCATGGTGCGTGAGACCATGCTCAACCAGTGAGCCACACCGGCCGGGCTAGATATTTTTTAATAGCTCTTTTGAGCTGTAATTCAAGTGCCATACAATTCTCTCAGTTAAAATGTACAATTCAATGGATTTTCGTGTACTCACAGAACTGTGCATATACCACCACGATCAATTTTAGAATAGTCACGTTAGATGGTATGTGGGAAAAGTCTTATGCCCTTCAACTAAGGCTATAGTGGTTTGTATAAACTATTGGGGGAGGCAGTGTGGGCTCAGGAGATAAAATATTTAAACCCCATTTGGTAACCTGAAGTCCTAGAACACATAAGTAATTCTCATCACATGGATGTCACCTGCATTGTGGCATAGTCAGGACCAGGGGATTTCTTATGCCAACAAAATCTTTTTCTTCTTTTTTTTTTTTTTTCCTGACTCTACATTAAAGATAAAACTGACTATATTTATACAACAGAGACTTTGTAATGGATTTTTTCAGCTTTGTGAAACCAAAATTTTTGTCTCATCAAGACTGGTTAGATTTCCTCTTTTACTCTGTATTCCAAGAGTTTGTAGTTTGTTAGGGGATGGGCATTGCATGTCACATTTTTGTGTGTGAAATAAAAATATACCTTTCGAGTTGTTTTTCTTAAACATGAATTGGATGGCTGAATGGGTGAATGAGAAATGGTAAATGTGCTTGAAGCTTAAACTGCAGAGAAGGATTCTGGATCCTTCAGAGCACACTCTGGAGCAACATGAACCTGGGCTAGCAGCCTCTTACCAACCTGTTGAGGAATCAGCCAACGACCAAAGCCTCAGTTTCTACAATATAAAATACATCTAATGATGCCTCACCTCTGAAGATTAAGTGAGGTCCAAATGAGAGAACACATAAAACACTTAGCATGTTAGTTCCCTTCCAGTTGAGCTTTCTCTAGGGTGGCACTGAGGCCAGCCACATAATAAACTGTCCACAAACACAAGTGAAAGTAGCTTGTTTGGGTCTGAGGTGGATTATTATAGACTAGATGTGAACAAAATCCTAGAGAGTTTTAAGAACCATTTCCCAGGATAGCTGGGAATTCCCTTAGCTGGTTGGTTGTGACCTACATCTGTTTTGACTGGGTGGTACCTGGGTTGCACTGGTGGTTAAATATTTTAAATATAACCCCTGCTTATATGGTACGCAGGAGTGATATTTACCTTCTTCCTAAGAAGGAAAGTAGAAAGTGCTATTAATGTGGCATTTCTATGTGTCAAGTCTAAACTAAGTCTTTCATAGCAGTACCCAGTTAGTTCTCATAACAGCCCTAGAGGCAGGTATTATTTCCATTATAATAGATGAAGAAAATACACCTCTAACAGAGGCATGTAAGGTCCAGAACAGCCCACACTTACAATCTAACCATACTGAACTTTTTATTTTTTCTTTATTGATTTTAGAGAGAGATGAAGAGAGAGAGAGAAACATTGAGAGAGAACATCGATTGGCTGTCTCCTGCAAGCCCACTACTGGGGATTTGGCCCACAACCTGGGCATGTGCCTTGACCAGAAATGGAACTGGCGACCTTTTGGTGCATGGGTCGATGCTCAACCACTGAGCCACACCGGTCAGGCCACACTGAATTTTAGACTGTCCCTCAGTCATAAGCTGTTTCACACTTCCCTGCCTGGTGTATGCTTCTGCTCTCCCCTTTTTACCAGATAGACTTCACCCGGTTTCCAAAGTCACGCCACTGTGAAACGTTTCCTGGCTCACTCACTGGGGATACAATAGGGAAGAAAAAATTATATGGGCATAGTGCAGTTAATTTATATGAATTCAACCATATACTATGCAGTGTCCCAATGCATCAAACAAGAAGCAGACATAACTCAGCTTGAAACGGGGGGTGGGCAATGTGTGAATGATTTTAAGTACTTCCTAATCACTGACAAAGAAGTGAAAGGCACTGTCAGGGACCAGGCAAAAAGATACTAATGACCGGTCTAAAACTTAAGACATTTGATTGAGAACCACAGAAATTGATGGAGGCCCTCGCCAGGTGGCTCAGCTGGTTACAGTATTGTCCTGATATGCTAAGGTTGTGAGTTTGATCTCCAAATAATGCATAAATAAGTGGAACAACAAATCAATATCTCCCTTTCCCTTTCTCTCAAATTAAAAAACTAATGGAGGGTTGCACATACCAAATTTTACAGATAACTGAAGAGCTATGGGAGAGTCTAGAATATAATTTCATTTTAGTGCTGAAGTTAACATTCCCATATAAAATGCAATTCCCTGACCAATACAGTGTGGTAGGATAACTGACACTTTATTCCAATTCTAACAGAGGACGAGGCAGCATCAAAGTCACCCAGGTTCTGGCAGCTTTCCCTGAACCATGCTATTTTTATATGGTTCCTCCTTGGTTGCTCAAGGACAGTAACATCAACTTCTCTGGTTACTGTGTCTCTCTGATAGAAGGGAGTGGGCAGCCAAGAATTGGAGGTTGGGTTGTCAGTTCCTCCTAAAACAGTAGAATAAATGTCACTATATTGTGAGAACCTAGAAGGGTGGCAAACCAGTCTTGGGGGAGGGTGAAGAGAACATCAGAGAAGACTTCCAGGAGGAAGAATGAATTAGCCAGTTTGTAGGAAAAGTGGAGGGAAGGAGTTCCAGGCAGAAGGAGCTTGTACAAAGGCTCAGAGGCAAAGAAGGGGAGCCATAAGTAGCTAGAGGGGGGATGCCAAGAAATAAAGAGGAGACATGTTAGGGGCAGATCATGAAAGGCTTTGCAAGCTATGTCTGAACATTCTCCTGAGAGCAGCAGGTAGTCACTGAAGGCTTCTAATAGGGAAGTGAGAGGTTAGGGCTTACTTGTCAAATACCAAGAAATCCTATTCCAAATCAAAATAAAAAGAGAACAAAAAGAGCAAAGAGGTGCCAAAGTGAGGCCAAAGAGAGCCCTCCCACATTAGCCAGCTCTGAACTGAGGAACACTGAGGCTCCCCAGTGGCTGGGCTCCCCACCCCTTTATTTGCTCCCTCCTTGCAGGTGCTTATTCCCCCTGGGCTGCCTATTGTCCAGAGCCTCCAGGGCAGCTGCTCACCTAGGATTCTGTTCCCTGTACCTGCAACAAGCTTCTACCCTCAGCCTTCTCCCTGCAAGTCACTCACCCAATGGGGATGTAATAAGCATCTCCCATGTGTCAGACACTGTGCTAGGTCCTGTGGAGATAAAGATACAAATAACCAACAGTATCTGCCTTATTTAAAAAGCCATATTTACTAAACAAGTTCCTCAAGGCCCTGTTTTCTGCTAAAGAATATTAACAAAGGTACAAGCCCAAAATGAAACTCTTAGGCATTTACCACTATTCACGTTTGGGCTCCATTACTTAACTTCTCTTGTCCTCAGTTTCCTCATATAGAAGGTTTGACCTACCTGTTTTCCAGCTGGGGATCATTGAACCCCCAAGTCCTCAGATACTGCACCCATAAGCTCATCTCAATATGAAAGGCTAACAAAACCACACATTCAAAAGTGGTAATGGTGTCACACCATTTCTCTATGACCACAGTATCATGTTGATTTGCTTTTGTGTTAGCTCTGGCAAGAATTAGTCACTACTTTATTATTCCCCGCTCATCAGAAATTCTAGGTGCAACCATATATGTCTTAATAAGAAGGGAAAACAAACTATTGTTTTTAAAATCATGTTTGTTAAACAAAGGTATTTCAAATCATAAGGGACAAGTGATGAAAAGATTAGGAATTATTAGGTTAGCAGATAGCTAAGATTCCCTTCCAGCTCTAAAAATCCTATGATTCTAGCCCTGGCCAGTTTGGCTCAGCGGTTAGAGCATCGGCCTGCGGTCCGGAGAGCCCCGGGTTCGGTTCCCGCTAAGGGCACGTACTTCGGTTGCAGTTTGTCCCCGGCCCTGGTTGGTCGTGCGGGTGGCAGCCACTCGATGTGTCCCTTCACGTCGATGTTTCTCTCTCTCTCTCCCTTACTCTCCCTCCCTCCCACTCTATCTGTACAAAAAATGGAAAAATATCCTCGGGTGAGGATAAAAAAAAAAAAAAAAAATCCTATGATTCTAACCTGACAAATGAAGTATGCCATTATGTTAATTTTGTATACTTATCAGACAACATGAGCACTTTAAAGGAAGATGTTTGTAATCTAATGATAAGACTAATGGTGAAAATCCCTAAGGAAATGTGGAGAGGTCAGAATATTAGGGCCATCCTTTCAATTATATTAATGACTTCCTTAAAGGACTGGCACAGTGGCCCTCCTCCCAACACCCAGCACTGTTCTGAAACTTAGCAGAATAGACTTTGGCAGTGCCTTCGCTGACACAGGGCAGTTATCCCCCTTAACAGACCTTGCCCTCAGAGTTCAGAGAACTCTGTATGATGAAATCTTTGCTCAGATTTTCAAATATCCTAAGACATGACCTCAGCACCTTGTACTGCCTTCACAGTAAATACTTCCCCCTTGGAAAAGTCTCCTCGTGTCTCTCTCCAAAAAATTCCAATTGCACTTTCCTGACTCTAGGATCTTAAGGATTGGTAAAGGGACAATCTGGTTTACCCACAATCAGACTAAGAAATGCATCCTGGTCTGCCTGGTGTGGCTCAGTGGTTGAGCATCGACCCACGCACCAAGAGGTCGCCAGTTCAATCCCGGTCAGGACACAAGCCCGGACTGTGGGCCCGATCCCCAGTGGGGGGCGTGCAGGAGGCAGCCACTCGATGTTCTCTCATCATGTTTCTATCTCTCTCTCCCTCTCACTTCCTCTCTCTCTGGAATCAATAAAGGAAAAAAAGAAGACGACGACGAAGAAGAAACGCATCCTAGCTCTAAGGGCTCTAAGGCAGGAGAGCAGGAATCTTGACTTGAGGGAACCCGGGGACTAAAAAATGTAGCCATACTTTTCTTATCCCAAGACGGAGAACACAACAGGGGTTCATTCAGGGAGAGCGTCCAGAATTAGGACCCAACTTTGTGAGCCAGTAACTGGCATCTATGGGAGGCGCCAGCGATCACGTTGGCAGGCCTCTGTCTATGTCCTTTAACCTGAGGAGGCACCTGAGGCACTCACCTTCACAGGGCAGTGAGAGCTCCCACAGAGAGGGGACAGCGCTGGGGAAAAAGCCCTACAGGGGCACAAAGCGGGAGCCGGGGCCGACCCGGACACAGTCCGATAAGCCACCGCCCGGCACTGCACAGCCTCGGCACAGCCGCTTCCGGCGGAGAGGGTGTGCAGAGCGCTCCCGCCGCGCCTGCGCGGGGTGGGGCGGGTCAGCGCGCCGGCGCAGTGCGTCGGTCACAGGCTGCCTGCCTTGCTACGATCTTCATTTCCCTTCTGGTTGACCCTGGAGGAGGAAGGATGGTGCTGGATCTAGATTTGTTTCGGGTTGATAAAGGAGGGGACCCAGCCCTCGTCCGAGAGACGCAAAAGAAGCGCTTCAAGGACCCGGGACTGGTGGATCAGCTGGTGAAGGCAGACGGCGAGTGGCGAAGATGTGAGTACCGGGGATGCACGGGATGCCCCTCCTAATCCCAACTTAGCTCTCTGACCTCATTACCGCTCCTGAAGCCACAGCTTCCTCTCCTCGTTAGACCCCCTCTCCCCGACTGCGGTGGCCCCGAGGCTTTCCCTAGCCCCCCAAACGCTGGGGTAGCCGGGACCGCAGCACTTTTTCTGTCCGCCGGGTTGGTGCCAGCTCTCTTCCTCGCTCGCTCAGTGCGAATCGCCGGTCTAAGTCTGGGAAAGGAGCATGGCGCGTGCGCATCAAGAGCTGTCACGGCTCCCCTCCGCAAGGGTAGCCAGAAGAAACCCTGGGCGGGAGGTTTCCCCTTTCCTAACACTCATCTTTGGTCGCCTACGGTCTTTCTCCATCTTCAACAAGGCCAGAGTGGTCTTCTATATAGATAGGTTCAAAAACTGCAGCCTGAATCACATCTGCAATTTAATAGGTTCACTCCACCCATATTGGAAGTATTTGAGGTCTTTGGAGGCCGCTCCTGCCTAAAAGCGGTGATCCCGGAGCTTTGGGGAAAGCCATTCCCCTGGTTTGTGATCATGCTTTTAAAAATAGAGAAAAGTATTTTTTGTGGCAGGTAGACATGGGGAGAGGGGTGTAGCGAGACAAGAAAAAGCTTGTAAGTAGTGAGGCTGTGTAATTGTGATTTGTAGAAGTTTTCCGGAAAAGACATTGGCAGAGTTTGGCTAAAACCTGAAACAGAAAATAAAACTAGAGAACGCTCTGCCTAGATTAACTGGAGTAGTCACTGATTGGCCGGATGCTGTGAAGTACACATGAATAGTCTTGTCTGATGCAATAAGTCTGCAACCAGCTGGAGCCAAGTTTATGACAGCACACTGCAAAGGCAGTCACTGTCCAAGAGTGTGGTGGCTTTCTATTGGGAACATTGATTTTCCTAAATGTATTAGACTGTTGGGTACCAATAGAGTATTTGTTAGACTTAGATTGTTTGTTGATTGCCTATGTCTCAGTCTCTCTAAAGTGGTAGTTTGTGACTGTGAGATCCCACCACCTGAATATGAAGCTTTGAGTTGCAGTGGAATTAAATTAATTGGAAGGAAAAAAAAGGACTGGCCACTGAATGAGAAGTATCAGATTTTTTATCAGGTTATCCATTGTTCAGTACTAAATGACTTTGAATGTGTTAGCTTGCCTGTTGTGTATAATATACAAATCAACAGGGAGTTTTCATGAATATCCTTTCCTAATGAATGGATATATGGTGAGGGGATGAGTTCTTCAGGGACATGGCTGTGTTTTATGCATCTGTATGTCCCAGTACCTAGGATATACATATACATACAGGTTATACATGTATTCATATAATCCCAGTACCTAGCACTGCACCTGCTCCTTGGTAAGGGCTTGACAAAGGTTTTTTGAATTCATGAATATCTTTTCTGTTCAGGGCACTTTGCCCTTCTGTATGAAAAGCAGTTTATTTCCTTTATTTTCAACACATCTATCAATTTGATTATTTTCTACTTGACATTCCTTACCAGTGTTCTCTTTGCAGCCAACGGGAGTAATGATTTTTCCCTGCCTGAGTAGGACATTGACAGATCTTCTATCAAAGTTCTTTTGTATCCGAACCTCAGATCAGAAGTTGGGGTTCTCCCGTCATTGGCTGCAACAAAGACTTAACCCTGAGCCACAAAAGGACTTGTCATGTTCCCTGCCTGAGGACACACAGCAAGCTTCACAAGGCCCTCCATTACAACTGTACCTATTTGTCTGCCTGTAGACCTCCACGGTGTCACTAGGACTCTCAAAGGGGTCTGATAAAACATGGAGTCCTAGCACCAAAGAGTTTACCACGGCTTTTCTAATTCCAAGGATTCAAACTGTGATTTCTTCTTTTTTAATTCAGAGTAATATACTGAGGACACATTTGGGCACATGATAAGCATTTCTCTCAACTACTTCCAAAGCCACTAGATTTCCACCTTTCTTTCAATCTGCTAACTACCAGAATTCTATCCTCCCCCCAAAAATGCTATTCTGAATGAGATTTCTCTTTACTATAAATTGAAGTTGTTATTTCCTCTTAACCTCTGGAAATAACAGAGGTTATTTCCAGCCAGGCCCTTGTCATTGGAATAACATTCTTTTTTATCCTCATACGAGAACATTCTTTTTTTATCCTCATCCGAGGACATTTTTCCTTTTTTTTTTTTGTTCAGATAGAGTGGGAGAATGAAACATCGACATGAAAGGGACACATCGAGTGGCTGCCTCCCACATGACCCAACCAGGGCCAAGGGACACATCGAGTGGCTGCCTCCCACATGACCCAACCAGGGCCAAGGGACACTTCGAGTGGCTGCCTCCCACATGACTAACCAGGGCCGGGGACAAACTGCAAGTACTTGTCCTTAGTGGGAACTGAACCGGGTCTCTCCAGACCACAGGCCTACTCTCTAACTGCTGAGCCAAACTGGCCAGGGCTGGAATAACATTCTTAACTGCTTTCCCTTTCACCCTAGTCTCACCCAGCCTTGGGCCACACCCATGACACGTGACCTTTTTGGAATGAAAATCTTATCATTTTGCTTCTAGGCTTAAGTCTTGCAGTGACGTACATACCTTAAATCTGTTTGATAAAAATACAATGTGAGCCCTGGCCAGTTTGGCTCAGCGGTTAGAGCATCGGCCTGTGGTCCAGAGAGACCCGGGTTCGGTTCCCACTAAGGGCACATACCTCGGTTGCAGTTTGTCCCCGGGCCTGGTTGGGTCATGTGGGTGGCAGCCACTCGATGTGTCCCTTTCACGTCCTTTCACGTCGATGTTTCTCTCTCTCCCTCCCACTCTATCTGAACAAAAAACAAAAAAAATACAGTGTGAGCCACAGGAGTAATTTTGAATTTTCTTGTAGCCATTTAAAAAATGTAAAGAGCCCTGGCCGGTTGCCTAGTGGTTAGAGTGTCACCTTTTATTTACTTATTTATTTATTTATTTATTTATTTTTTTATCCTCACACAGGACATTTTTTGATATTTTGTTCAGATAGAGTAGGAGGGAGAGAGAGAGAGAAACATCGACGTGAAAGGGACACATCGAATGGTTGCCACCCACACGACCCAACCAGGGCCGGGGACAAACCGCAACCGAGGTACGTGCCCTTAGCGGGAACCGAACCTGGGTCTCTCTGGACCGCAGGCCGAGAGTGTCACCTTTTAGAGCATCATGGGTTAGAGCATTGTGGAGGACCAAAGAGTTACAGGCTCTATTCCTATCAAGAGCACATACCTCTGCAGTTCATTCCCCTGGTCAGGGTCATGCTGGAGCCAACCAATCAATGTGTGACACATCATGTTTCTCTCTCTCTCTCTCTCCCTCTCTCTCTTCCTCCCTCCCTCCCACTCTATCTGAAAATTAATGGAAAAATAACCTTGGGTAAGGATTAACAAAAAACGAGCCCAGTCGGTTTTGCTTAGTGGTTAGAGCATCGGCCAGTGGACCAAAGGGTCTCAGGTTCGATTCCTGGTTAGGGGCATGTACCAGGGTTACAGTTTTGACCCTCAGCCCTGGTTGGGATCGTGTGGGAGGCAACCAGTTGATGTGTCTTTCTCATAACCATGTTTGTCTCTCTCTCTCCCTCCCTCCCTCCTTTTCACTCTCTAAAAAACTACAAATCAATGGAAAAATATCCTCAGGTGAGGATTAACAACAACAACAAAAATGTAAAGAAAAACAGATGAAATTAATTTTAGAAATACATTTTATTTAACCCATAGATCTAGATATTATTTTTTAACATGTAATCAATATAAAAATTTGAGTTATTTTACATTCTTATTCTTTTTTACAGGTCATCAAAATCTAGTGTATAGTTTTACACTTACAGTACATATATAGGGCTAGGCAAAAGTAGGTTTACAGTTGTGAGTACATAAAATTTGTTCTTATATTATTATTTATTAAGTATTGTATTATTTTCCATATGAACAACTCTTAATCTACTTTTGCCCCACCCTGTGTGTATGTATATATTTATATATATACACATAATACATGTATATAAAATTATATATTTATAATTTATATATTTAAAATTATATATATAATTTTCTTTTGTAATTTGTGCTTTGTGTTCTGCTTAGGAAATCTTTTCATATCTCAAGGTCCTGAAGAGATTTTTCAATTTTTTTCTATAAGTTTTGTTACTTTACCTTTCACATTTAGGTAGATGATTTATCTCACATTGATTTTGGTGTATGATATGAGAAAGGGATCAAAGTTTATTTTTTTATGTAGAAATCCAATTGCTTATGATAAAAATGCAGCAAACTAGGAACAGAAGGGAAATTTCCTAATCTGATTATTGGTTTTTATTGGAAAACCCATTGTTAATGTTATTCTTAATGATGAAATATTGAATGCTTTTCCCATGAGGCTGAGAATACGACAAGGATGTCTACTATCACCACTTCTAATGCATATCATGCTGAAGGTTCTAGACAGTATTATATAAGGCAAGAAAAAGAAATAAATGATTGGAACAGAAGTAATTACAAAGTCATCTGTAATTATTTGCAGATGACTGTTTGATGCTGAATTATTAAAATTAGGTAAATTTAGCAAAATCACTGTATAAAATATACAGAATTAGTAATATTTCTATAAACAAGAAACAATTATAAAGCATCTGATACCTAGAACTATATTTAATAAATGACACTCAAGATCTCTACGCTGAAAACTATAAAACATTGCTGAAATTAAAGATAATGAAGGGATATACAGTATTCATTAATTGAAACATTCCACATTGTTATATATATATGTGTGTGTATATATATATATATATATATATTTTTAATCCTCACTTGAGGACATTTATCATCAGACAGAGGGAGGGAGAGAGGGGGGAGAGAGAGAGAGAAACATCGATGTAAGAGAGACAAACCAGCTGGCTGCCACCCACACAGCCCCAACCAGGCCGGGAACAAACTGTAATCGAGGTACGTGCCCTTAGCAGGAACCGAACCCGGGACTCTCTGGTCCTCGGGTCGACGCTCTAACCGCTGAGCCAGACCGGCCAGGGCTATATTTTTTTTAATTGCTTCCCCCCCCCCCCCCCAGTACCTACCACAGTGTTTTCTTTTATATTACTGACCCTTAGCACAGGGCCTTGCAAATGGGATGGACTAAATTAAAATTTTTTTAAACTTTTTATTTCAAAATAATTATAGTTACAAAAATAGCACAGAGAGGTCCTGGGTACCCTTCACCCAGTTTTCCCCAGTGAGAACATCTAACATAACTGGTACAATATCTTTTTTTTAATCCTCACCCGAGGACATTTTTCTATTTTTTGTTCAGATAGAGTGGGAGGGAGAGAGAGGAAGAGAGGGAGAGAGAGAAACATCGACGTGAAAGGGACACATCGAGTGGCTGCCACCCACACGACCAACCAGGGCCAGGGACAAACTGCAACCGAGGTACGTGCCCTTAGCGGGAACCGAACCCGGGTCTCTCTGGACCACAGGCCGATGCTCTAACCGCTGAGCCAAACCGGCCAGGGCCATAACTGGTACAATATCAAAACCAAGAAATTGACATTGCTACAATCCACAGACCTTATTTAGATTTCACCAGTTATACATGCACTCATTTGTGTGTGTGTGTGTGTGTGTGTGTGTGTGTGTGTGTGTGTTATTCTAGGTGATTTTGTCACGTGTAGATTTGTGTTCCACCACCACAGAGATACCTTTGTAGTCCATTCCCTTACCTCTGCCCCATCTAACTCAAGGCAACCACTAAACTGTTCTCCATTTCTGTAATCAATGTGATTAAGTGAATGAGAAGGTAGTTGTATCATTTTGTGTAAAGTGTAGTTTAAATTTAGTTAGTTTGGCAAAGCCTTCAACAGTAGCTGTGTCTAGATATTATCTCATTTCTAGTCATCATTTTACCTGTTAAAAGCTTGAATTATACCATATTGCTCCAAAAGCTTAGAATCAAGAGTCAGACTAATGAAACACAACATACCAATATGTTAATTTGGGCCAGAATACCTTTGTAGGCTGATTAGTACCCTGTCTTCCTGAAAAGAAACCAAAATTTAAGAAATTAAATTAAAGGCTGCCAGCTGAGCATTGTGTCAAAGCAAAGGGAGTAACATGAACCATTTCTAGCATACAGTGCAGCAACTAAGTTCATGGGAATAGAACTATGACTGCCCTCTTTCTAGATTCCCCTGCACACCGCATAGTTTATTAAATGAATTTTAAGATAATTAAACAGCCCTGGCCAGTTTGGCTCAGCGGTTAGAGTGTCGGCCTGCGGTCCTGAGAGACCCGGGTTCGGTTCCCGCTAAGGGCACGTACCTCGGCTGCAGTTTGTCCCCGGCCCTGGTCGGTTGTGCGGGTGGCAGCCACTCGATGTGTTCCTTTCACATCGATGTTTCTCTCTCTCTGTTCCTCTCTCTCCCTCCCACTCTACCTGAACAAAAAATGGAAAAATGTCCTCGGGTGAGGATAAAAAAAAAGATAATTAAACAGGTTATAGTTACTTGATTATCTTTCAGATTTCTCAGATGTGTTAACTCTGCAGTGGTACCATCCAGGTTATGATACTTTTTTTTTAAATCCTCATCTGAGGACATTTTTCTATTTTTGTTCATATAGAGTGGGAGGGAGAGAGAGAGAAACATCAACGCAAAAGGTACACATCGAGTGGCTGCCACCCTCACGACCCAACCAGGGCCAGGAACAAACCACAACCGAGGCGTGTGCCCCCAGCATGAACCGAACCCTGATCTCTCTGGATCACAGGCCGGCGTTCTAACCACTGAACCAAACCGGCCAGGGCAGGTTATGATACTTTTAAGTTCAGTCTCAGAGCGGCCTTTTTCTTGTCATAAATGCTGGAGAACCCTGTCGTCATAATATATGCCAACTAAAGCTCTAAAGCTATAACATTTCACAGCTTCATGAGGCAGATCCATCCCATAGTTCTGCCTGCACTCTGGTCTTGGGCTGAGATCAGTCCTAAAGAGCCATGATTAGGAGATGGAGGAATCTTAATTATATGCTTATCTTTGGAATATTCTCGGGTTCTTTATTCTTCAGGCAGATTTCGGGCAGACAACTTGAACAAGCTGAAGAACCTATGCAGCAAGACAATTGGAGAGAAAATGAAGGTAAGAAAACGAATAGCCTTGAGAACTTCATCAGAGAGGTGTTTAATCTTATTCTTAGTTTTGTTTTGTTTTTATCCTCACCCGAGGACATTTTTCCATTTTTTGTTCAGGTAGAGTGGGAGGGAGAGAGAGGAACAGAGAGAGAGAGAGAAACATCGACGTGAAAGGAACACATCGAGTGGCTGCCACCCGCATGACCGACCAGGGCCGGGGACAAACTGCAACCGAGGTACGTGCCCTTAGCGGGAACCGAACCCGGGTCTTTGGACCACAGGCCGACGCTCTAACCGCTGAGCCAAACCGGCCAGGGCAATCTTATTCTTAGTTAATACATAATTTCTAATTTAGTGTCTAATTCTATGGGATACCCAATTTCCTGCCAAAGTGGGTGAATTATTTTAACAAGAAAGGAAAGAAGGCAGGGAAGGAACTAAAGGAGTGAGTCCATCTTCTGTATTCAGATAAGCCTTAGTCCGTTTGGCTGCCATAGACTGGTCGGCTGATAAACAACAGAAGTTTATTTATTTATTTTTTAAATATGTTTTTGTTTATTTTTTTAGAGAGAGAGGAAGGGAGAGATAGAAACACTGATGTGAGGGAGAAACTGATCGGCCACCTCCTGCACGCCCCCTCCTGGGGATTGAGCCAGCAACCCAGGAATGTGCCCTAACCAGGAATCAAACCAGGACCACTTGGTCTATGGGACGATGCTCAATCCACTGAGCCACACCAGCCAGGCAGAAATTTATTTTTTACAGTTCTGGAGGCTGGGAAGTCCAAGATCAAGGCAAGGGCAGATTTGGTATCTGGTGAGGGCCCACTCCACTTCCTGGCTCATAAACAGTCCCCTTGCTGTGTCCTCACACAGCGGAAGGAGCCAGGGAGCCCTCTCACCTAATCACCTCTGGAAAACTCCAAGTCCTGGACTCTTGGGTATGTGACTTGAGGCAAGTTAACTTCTGAGCCTCAGTTTTCTCATCTGAAATGACAATACTAACATTCATAGAACAGAATTGTGAGAACAAAATTTTTTAAATGTAGAGAAACTGGCACTCTGCCTAGAACATTGTAGTTATTCAGCAATTGTAAGTAACAATGGATGGCCTCCGTCCAGAAAATCCTTTCATGCTTAAAGAATGTTAAGTTTCAGCCCTGGCTGGTTTTGCTCAGTGGTTGGAGCATTTGCCTGCTGACCAAAGAGTCGTGGGTTTGATTCTGGTCAAGGGCACGTACCTCAGTTGTGGTTTGGTCCCCAGCACTGGTCGGGGTCATGCGGGAGGCAACCAATCAATGTCTCTGTCTCTCACATCAGTGCCCCCCCCCCCCAATCTAGGGGGGAAAAAAAAAATTAAGTTTCAGTTCTGCTTTCCTTTGGTATCCAGAATAGTACATGTTTTTGTTTTTTTATCCTCACCCGAGGACATTTTTCTGTTTTTTGTTCAGATAGAGTGGGAAGGAGAGAGAGAGAGAGAGAGAAACATCGACGTGAAAGGGACACATTGAGTAGCTGCCACCCGCACGACCAACCAGGGCCGGGGACAAACTGCAACCGAGATACGTGCCCTTAGCGGGAACCGAACCCGAGTCTCTCTGGACAGCCGGCCAACGCTCTAACTGCTGAGCCAAACCGACCAGGGCTAGAATAGTACATGTTTTTAATCTTTCTTCAAAGATACCCTTTTAGCCCCTCAATCACTTTTTAAAAAACATATTAAATGCACTTAATAGTCTGTCTAATTTTTAAGTTGTAAACCCCTAAACTAAACCAAAAAGTTAAAAATTAGGAACCTGAACCATTAAAGAACATAACAAAAAGATTTCCCTGGGATTCTAGCAACTTATACTTCATGCTAGTCTGAATTCTTCTTTTACAGTATTTTGTTATGCTTTCAGCTTGTGACTGGCTGTAGAAATTGATATAATCATAATGTTTTTTGCCTGTGGGAACCATGATGCTTAATCATTTGCATGCCAGAGGCCTCATGACCTGTTAATTGCCATGTATACGCCTGCCTGTGTGTTCTCTGAAACACATACACAGATAGTGACAGCCAAGCATTTTTCATAGCAAAGATGAGAGTGTTTTCATTTACAGTAACATTCTTGGATTGCTTTACTGCTAACACTATAAGGAGTGTTCTCGTTTGCTGTCCATTGGAATGGTACTAGCTTTCATTTGTATAGCACTTGAAAGTATTAAAAACCCTTTTATATACATCTCATTTTGGTTTTGATCTTTGGTGTGAACCTGGAGTGTAAGTAGTACAATTATCAGCCTTATTTAAAGGCAAGGGAAGTCCTCACTGGTTTGGCTCAGCAGTTAGAGTGTCGACCTGTGGACCGAAGGGTAGAGGATTCAATTCCTGGTCAAGGGCATGTACCCGGGTTGCAGGTTCAATCCTCAGTCCTGGTTGTATGGGATGCAACCAATCGATGTGTCTCTCTCACATCGATGTTTTTCTCTCTCTCTCTCTCTCTCTCTCTCTCTCTCTCTCTCTCTCTTTCCTTTTCTCCCTTCCATTCTGTCTAAAAATAAAAAATCAATCCTCCAGTGAAGATTAACAAAAAATTACATTAGCTGCAGAGTCAGAACTTGAACTCAGAACTTGAATTTGCTGCCCCAAGGGATTAGCAGATAGCAAGGGAGCCTCAGCTACCAAATGGAAAATACTGAGATTTAGGCCACTTTTTTCCTACCTCAGTAGTCTTTGCTTGTTCCTGTTCTTCTTAAGACTTGTTCTGATATTTTCAGACTTTCCCAAGCTTTTGAGATGATTTTGCTGAGTCACTGAAGGGTGCGAGTTGGGTTATGGTTTGAATCTTGACTTCTTACGTCAGTGGATGAGAATGTGTAATGAGTTTGTCTAATGGATTTCTATGCTTTTGCCCTTAGATTTTTATCCTTTGTGCAGTGGATATGAGGTTGTATAAACACGATCACCTATTATTGTGTGTATAGAATTTTAAAAATCTTTAAGACATTGAATATGATTTCTACATGTTGTTTTATTTATACTTGCAAAGCAGACCTTAAATCTCAATGTGTTCTTATACAAGTTTTGCTAAAGTCTTACATGTCTTGTTATAGTGGCCTTTGATAATTTAATTTATTAATTAAAATTATCTTCCCCATGGCTGTGGACAGGATTAGAAATGATTGATTTGGCAGAATATCATAAAGAAGGGTGAGGCAAGGAACCGGAGGGGGGAAAATCCAGTGCTGGGTGCATCCCTGCTGTTTTGCCAACTTGCATTGACTACTCTAAATTTAGTTCCAGATTTTGTGACTTTTTTCCTAAAAAATTCAGTTTTCCTTGCCTCCCTAACATCCCATCATCCCATCCATTTCCCGGCGAAGCCTCAGTACTGGGACTGTTCTTAGCAGGTAGGCAGGCAGGGGTTTGCCAGTTCCTGCCCAGGCCTCTGCCCCAGTGCTGGCTCTTGAGTACCCAGCATGCGAGAGTTCTCGCCTGTTCTCAGTGTCCATTACTCTTGTATGTCCAGGGCATACAAAGTCGACCCTCTGACCCTGATGGGTTTATCAATCGGTCCAGGATTAAAAAGCTAGAGAGTGGCACCCTGGCCAGTGTGGCTCGTTGGTTGGAGCGTCTTCCCATGCACCAGAGGTTGTTGGGTTTGATTCCTGGTCGGTCCATGGGTTGCAGGGTTGTTCTCCCTGCAGGAGGCAGCCAATCCATTCTCTCTCTCTGCCTCTCCCTTCCTCTCTGGAATCAAGGAAAGACATCCTTGGAAGAGGATTTTTTAAAAAAGGCTACACTCGCCCTGGCCAGTTTGACTCAGCTCTCTTCTTCTCTCTCCCTCCCACTCTATCTGAACAAAAAATGGAAAAGTGTCCTCGGGTGAGGATTAAAAAAAAAAAAGGCTACACTCGGCTGGTGTGGCTCGTGGCTCAGTGGATTGAGCCGCTGCATACAGGAGGCAGCTGATTGATGTTTCTCTCTCATATCAATATTTCTCTCTCTCAAAAAATAAAATAAAATAAACATTTTTTTTTTTTTAAAGGCTAGAAAGTGGCAGAACAGAGACTTGAAACTTTTTTTCTCTCACTTCCAATTTACTAATATTTCTCCCAGGTGTTGCCTTTTTTAGAGAGTTATGTAGGAAGTTCTGTGAAGTTTATATGATACTGATTTGGTGTGCACTTATAAAATGATGTCGCAATTTTTTTTAAATTTAGTAGTATTGTTTGTTGGGTTTTTTTTTCTGCAGAAAAAAGAGCCATTGGGAGATGATGTGTCCATTCCAGAGAATGTATTAAATCTTGATGACCTCACCTCAGACACTTTAGCTGTAAGTTATTGTCCTTTTCTAGGTTGGAATTTTCTTCTTAGACAAGTAAATGCTGAAACTGCACTACATAGCATAGTGGCGTCCTTGAGTTTCTGTAGCTGGGACATGTCCCTGCGACTCTTATTATATACTCTGTCCTTTGTTTATGGGACAGCAAAGCTGGAGACAGATAGGCTGGAAAAGTCAAGGGTAGGGAGAAGAGAAAAAAGGAACTGAATTATGTTTAGTTTATATTATTCTATTTTCACAAAGTCAAGGAATTTTTCAGTGTACTGCAATTCAGTAAATACTCACTATATAATAGGCCGAGAGCAGTCATTTTCAAGTTTTTAGTCACTGAACCCTTTCTTAAAACCCATAACACAAAAGCATAGCAAGAACATAAACACAAAAAAAGCAGTGTTGCTGTGCTTGAAGGGCTGGGTTGGGGGTGCTCCTCCTGTGCAGACCTACCTGTTAAGGGCTCCCCCCAAGAAAGCAGAGCACAGTTTGAAATACCTGCAATAGGAATACAAAATTAGCTTAAGACAGTCTCTCGCTCCTAAAAACTGTATAATCTTCCTAGAGAACAGTCGAGTGCAGTACAGAAGAGAGTGCTAAAGTGGTTTAATCAGAAAGAAAGAGCTCTGAAAAAAGCTACGTATTAAAATTCCCAAGATATGTGGGAACAAGAAGAGTGGCCAGAATCGATCCATCTCTGCCTTAGGCACCCCAAAAGGAAATGCCAATGGATTTGTAAGGACAAGGTCGCTTTGAAAGCCTTCATTGTCCGTTTTTAAAAGGGTTGTCATCAGAGCACAACAGGGCTAGGGGACAGAATCTTATTCCTACTCTGGCCTTGACTCACTGTGGCCTGGGTGTGGGCCTGACCTGTCCATCTACAGAACCTGAAAGTGTCACAGATCAAAAAACTCCGACTCCTCATAGATGAAGCCATCCTGAAGTGTGACGCTGAGCGGATAAAGCTGGAGGCAGAGCGGTTTGAGAACCTCCGAGAGATCGGGAACCTTCTGCATCCCTCTGTGCCCATCAGTAATGATGAGGTAGGCTTAGGTGCTACAGCCGGCAGCTGCCTAACATCGCTCCTCTGTTGGACGGAGGACAAGAAAACACTGACACTCCATATAATGGGTCTTGTATCAGAAGCAGGCCCTTTGTGTATTTGCTCTGCCCACCAATTGAGAATTGAAAGTATCAGATCCTTGCCTGATTGGGAAGCGGCCGAGACCGCAGGTACGAGACTCCTGGCACAGAAATCTCTTCTAAATCAGGCTGCTGTCCTCCACTGTTGCCCTTGGTAGCAGCAAGTCTCGGGGAGGGGAGGGATCTGTTAAATCAACCTCACCCCTCACCCACACCCTGCTGGGAAGCTGCAGGTTGAAGGGAAATCTGCATGATAAAAGTTTCCTGCTGAGTGGGAGCTTCCCCAGCACAAAGCTGCTCTGAGCCCAGCCTTTGTTCCCTGACACCCCTGCCCGGAGTGGGGCCCATCTGTGCCTCTTTCATTCATTCCCTGGTGAACAGAATGTTAAACTCACTGCAGGCTGGGGTGGCAGACTGGGGAGGTCGGGCCCTGAGCCCGCCCTCATGTGGCCCTGGGACCAATGAGAGCCTGGGAAAAAGAAATCTCTCCTGCACCCCAGGCAATGTTGATTGTCCAGGGTAGAGGTGTTCTTGTGCAGGGCATTTAAAAGGGTTAAAAAAAAAGTGACATCTTTTGGAAAATCATGATTTCAGTTTCTTGGCTAGTATTACTTTTAGAAATCTAAAAATGATTATTTCTGTATTGAACACAAATTATCTAGCAAATTTCTTTCTCTGGTCTCTGGACACGATGACCAAATCCTCATGTTTGAGTTAAGCCTTGGCTTCACAAAACTCTAGGTTGTTCATAGAATAAGGGGTTTGGAAAGATAGAGGTTGTAGAATTCAGTGTGTGTATCTTTCTCTCCTGGTCTTGTTTCCTTAGGATGTGGACAACAAAGTAGAGAGGATTTGGGGTGATTGTACAGTCAGGAAGAAATACTCTCACGTGGACCTGGTGGTGATGGTTGATGGCTTTGAAGGAGAAAAAGGGGTCGTGGTGGCTGGGAGTCGAGGGTACTTCCTGAAGGTAAGCCAGGAACCAGTGGAGATGGGATTATAAAGAAGGAATTTAAATACTATGCAGCCCAATAAATAAATAAATTTAAAATTCAATAAATAAATAAATACTATGCAGCCCTGGCCTGGTTTGGCCCTTGGACCAAAGAGTCTTGGGTTCAGCCCTGGCTAGTTTGGCTCAGTGGTTGGAGTGTTGGCCTGCGGACCAGAGAGTCCCAGGTTCAGTTCCCGCTAGGCCCTAGCAGCTAGGGGCACGTACCAAAAAAAAAAAAAGAGTCTCGAATTCGATTCTGGTCAAGAGCGCGTACCTTGGTTGCATTTCATCTCTAGTCCTGGTTGGGGTCATGTGGGAGGCGGCTAATCAGTGTGTCCCTCTCACATCGATGTTCCGCTCTCTCTCTCTCTTTCTCTCTCTCTCTCCCCCTTCCTCCCACTCTATCTGAAAATCAGTGGAAAAATATCCTGGGGTGAGGATTAAAAAAATTAATTAATTAAAAATCCCATGCAGAAAACATTACCTACATAAGGAGGCCCACAAATCCATCATTTGTGCTCACCTTTCTACTACAAATTTATTGGCAGTTAGTGCAGTTTTCTTTCCAAGGCAGGAGAGTGCTGATCAGGAACCCCAGAACAAAAGCCACTGCGTGATGCCGTAATGAATGTATGTTTTGCTGACTGAATCAGAACAGTCTCTCCTTTGAAAAGCTCAGTGTAATCAGACAGTCAGACAAGTAACAGAGTCAAAAAACTACTGTGATAAGTGCTATTGACATAAGAAATGTCCAAACCTGTAGAGAATTTTTATGAGTTTATTTGAACCTAACTGATGACATTTGTTGGGAAGCAAAACCTCAACAGACTGAGAAAATGCTCAAGAGAATGGCAGTTTTGCAGCTTATTTTATTCATTAGAATCAGAGGAGGAGGCATAAGGGGAGTTACATGAAATCCACTGGTGGTTTATTGGAGGCAGGAGAAAGCAAAGTGGTGAAATCTCTGGGATTGGATACAAAGTAAAACGGAGAGACATGCACTTCTTTTACATTGGTGGATATAGGATAGTTAACAATGAACATTTACAGGACATGGAAATGGTATTTGGGGAACAAGATAACAATGAGGGGTTCTGTGGTCTGTGCTCTGGTGGGTGAGCCCTGAGGGGTCTGGAAAAGGGAATTACTCTGACATTTCAGCATGTGCCCTTGGGTAATCATATTGGCCCGGCTGCCTCTGAGTGTGAATTCTAGCATTTGAACATGATGGTGACAGAACCCAATCACCCAGTGCTGTCTCTGCTCCTTTAGGGAGCCCTGGTGTTCCTGGAACAGGCACTCATCCAGTATGCCCTTCGCACCTTGGGAAGTCGGGGCTACGTTCCCATATATACCCCGTTTTTCATGAGGAAGGAGGTGATGCAGGAGGTGGCACAGCTCAGCCAGTTTGATGAAGAACTTTATAAGGTGAGTAGCCTGGGGCAGTGTAACAGAAGGACTTCTTCAGTCGAGAAGTTTCGCTTCAAAGATACAGAGCAGCACTGTCCAGTAGAACTTCCTGCGATGATGGAAATGGTCTATATCTGTGACTCTTGAGCACCTGAAATATGGCTTGTTCAAAAATAAAAATGAAAAGGAGTCCTGGCCAGTTTAGCTCAGCGGTTAGAGTGTTGGCCCATGGACCAAAGGGTTGTGGGTTCAATGTTTGGTCAAGGGCATGTACCTGGGTTGCAGGTTTGATCCCCACCGCCAGTTGGGGTCATGCGGAAGGCAACCAATCGATGTGATTCTCTAACTCACATCATTGTCTCTCTCTCTCTCCCCATCCCTCCCTTCCACTGTATCTAAAAATTAAAGATAAATAAATGTGACTAGTGCAACTGAGGAAGTAAACATTTAATTTAAAACATTTTTCTAATTTAAATAGCTGCACATGGCCACTGGCTACATATTAGATAGTGCAGACCTAGAGCCTGTTTGATCTTTTCCCCAGGTAATCTGCGTGATGTATCTGAAGGAGCATACTTTAACATTATGACCTTAGAAAAGAAGCTCAGCCCTGGCCAGTTTGGCTTACAGACCAATGAGTTGCAGGTTCGATTCCGGTCAAGGGCATGTACCTCGGTTGCGGTTTGTCCCCGGCCCAGCTTGGGGTCGTGTGGGAGGCAACCAGTTGATGTGTCTCTCTCACATCTATGTTTCTCTCTCTCCCTGTCTCTCCTTCCCACTCTATCTGAACAAAAATGGAAAAAAATATCCTCAGGTGAGGATTAAAAGAAAAGAAGAAAGAAAAAAAGCTCATTTATTAAGTGATTGGACGAAAGGAAATTATAGAAGTGGCTGGTCTTATCATATCCTCCCACTCCTGACCCCAGATTGGAAGCCTCCATAGGGCAAGACATGTTTCCAGTTTGTGGCTCCTCTCAACCATGGACCATCTCAGGGAGAGCCAGAGGGTTCAAGTCAAGGTTCAGAAGGTCATTCTAATCAACTAAATACCAACGTGATTGAGGGTTATAACCTCTACCAGTGGTTCTTAACCTGGGGGTTGAACAACCCTTTCACAGGGGTCGCCAAAGACATAACAGTAGCAAAATTACAGTTATGAAGTAGCAACGAAAATAATTTTATGTTTTGGAGTCACCACAACATGAGGAACTGTATTAAAGGGTCACGGCATTAGGAAGATGCGAACCACTGCCTAGACTAACCCATAAGCACCAAGAAAGCAGAGACCATGTCTCCTTTGCCCAGCATTGGCAAAAAGGACTTTTTGGCCCTTAGTAATACTCACATTTGTTGAGTGGATTGCATTATATTACTACCACCTCACGTTTTACTGTACATCTGCCACCATTGGCCATTATATATCATTTACAAATTTATTTATTAGATAAGTTAAAAATATCAGACTTTTTAATTTGCTTTTCTTTTATTTCTATTAGGGACCCCATTTGGGACTGACCTATTCCCTTCCTTGTCTTTAGTGTCCCCTGCTCACTCCCAGGCAGGGATTGAGAAAACTTCTCCCTGTCCTATCGCTCTTATCTTCCCTGTGGCTTCTGCTGTAGCTGAGGTCCTCCTCCCTCACTCTTAACTTGTAAAGGCCCCCTCTCCTCCAGGTGATTGGCAAAGGCAGTGAAAGGTCTGATGACAACTCCTATGATGAGAAATACCTGATTGCCACCTCCGAGCAGCCCATTGCTGCTTTCCACCGGGATGAGTGGCTACGGCCGGAGGATTTGCCCATCAAGTATGCTGGCCTGTCCACCTGCTTTCGCCAGGAGGTGGGCTCCCACGGTCGTGACACCCGTGGCATCTTTCGAGTCCATCAGTTTGAGAAGGTAAGTAGAGAAGTCAGGGTGAGGAGTAGGACCCTCTGTCTGTCTCTCCGGGGAAGTTGGAGGGAAGACAGGAGCTATGTTGCTCAGGCCTACCCTGGCTTTAGTCTTTCCTCCTGGTACCTACGTCTTTGTTTCTGGGGAAGAGCCTGAGCAGCACGTGGTAGAGTGGCTGCCAGCACAGACTCTGGACCAGGCTGCCTGAGTCCAAATGCCAACTCCACCTACCAGCTGTGTCACCAAGGACGAGTTGCTTAACCACTCTGTGCTCAGGTTTCTCCCTGTAAAAGGAGGGTAATGATAGGCCCCAGCTCACTGGGCCCACTGTGAGGATTAAACTCGTGAATATGAAAAGCACTCAGAGCAGTGCCTGGCACATGTGCAGTGAGCTCTCTGTAGAAGCACGTGTTCCTGCTGCACACCCAGTCCAGTGCAGCCCCATCTGTCTTGCTGGGGGCCCCAGCTTTGCCTGACTCCCACTGGTATAGGAAGAGGTCTTCACTGCAAGAATATCTCCCACTTTGGTCCTTTAGTTTTTCACCCTGTCCCATTGTCACTGTATCCTTGGGTCCCTCTTTGCAGATTGAACAGTTTGTCTACTCCTCACCTCATGACAACAAGTCCTGGGAGATGTTTGAAGAGATGATTACCACTGCAGAGGAATTCTACCAGTCTTTGGGGATCCCGTACCACATCGTGAATATCGTCTCAGGTATCGGCCTCCCTTTCCTCCATCCCACAAACACCACCCGCACCACACAAAGAAATAGCTCACGATCCAATTAATTGCCCACATTAATTAAAAGAGCACACTCTGCTCACTTGGGAGTGTTTGCTGATAAGAATATCTGGGCGTGATTTCACTTCTGGGGATAGGATGTGAATTAAAGAATTCTTCAGGTTTGCTAAAGGTTAGCCTTCTGAAATACCATCCCTCCTTCATGAATTCTAGCGGTTTTTCCTTACAGGTTCTTTGAATCACGCTGCCAGTAAGAAGCTTGACCTGGAGGCCTGGTTTCCGGGCTCAGGAGCCTTCCGTGAGTTAGTCTCCTGTTCCAACTGCACAGACTATCAGGCTCGCCGGCTCCGAATCCGATACGGGCAAACCAAGAAGATGATGGACAAGGTAGAGGGCCCTGGGGAAGGGGACAGCAGGGCTTTCGGTGCAGAGTAGATTGGTCTTATTTCTCAGCCCTTGGAGTACATTATTTCCCAACACCATGGGGAAACCTAGGCTTTTCCATCTGGATTAGAAAGGGAACCTGAAAATGACTTCTACTGAATCAGGACTGAGTCCTTTTAGATAGAAACTGGAATCCAGTTCCATTCTATAAAATCATTCTAACTTGCCTCTTTCTGGCTATGCTTTCTGTCACTCCAAATAAAGAATAATCCCCATATCTGGGTCCCAGACCAGCGGGAGGCAATGCCTTTCCTCTTCTCACCCTGGAGGTCTGAGTTGTCAGCTTATCTCTTTAAACCCAATTTCCAGGCCCACTTTTCCGAGTCAGGAACTTGAAAAGGTCAAAAGGGGAGGCCCCTGTGGTAGTGTTTTCTTTCTCCCTCAAAGCGCCCAGCTCTCCTCAGAATGCTGAGACCTACGTCTTGTCACTCATGGAGACCGGAGTTATCAGATAGGTAGTAAATACCAAACAGAATTCAGGTTCAGAAAATGCTCAATAACAGGTAGAAGCCATGATTTTGAATTGGTTGGTTGCAGTGGGGGAGTCTGGCTGGGTGATGGCTCCTGGCCGTCAGACCAGCTGAGGGTTGAGCTGAACTCTCTTCACAGGTGGAGTTTGTCCATATGCTCAATGCTACCATGTGTGCCACTACGCGCACCATCTGCGCCATCCTGGAGAACTACCAGACAGAGAAGGGCATCATCGTGCCCGAGAAGTTAAAGGAGTTTATGCCACCAGGTAAGACCCCAGCCCAGCCCAGCCTCCTCTTCTCTGTCTTCACACTTCTGCATAGCAGGCCCCTTTTCAGAATGGACCCAGTTTTCTTGTTCACACACAGTCCCCAAAACTCTACCTGTCTGCTGGTGCTGGGCATTGCAGGGGCAGAGCTGAGAAAGTAGCCAGTATGGGCATGATATTCTATTGAAATGCAGCTGGAATTCAAACTGGGGAAGGAATGAACGAATGAAGCCAGTGCCCATCGTGGGTGCCCCTTTGTTCAAAGTTATCATTGTCTTTCGGCACTCACCCCAGAGGGCTGTGGGCTTTGACTCATGAAAAACGATAGATTATTTGGTTGGCTCTTACCTTCCAGGTCTCCAAGAACTGATTCCCTTTGTGAAGCCTGCGCCCATTGACCAGGAGCCATCAAAGAAGCAGAAGAAGCAGCATGAGGGCAGCCAGAAGAAAGGGGCGGCGAGAGAGGTTGCCCTGGAAAGCCAGCTGCGGAACATGGAGGTCACCGATTCCTGAACATTCCTTCCTCCAGTTCTGTCAGCTGGGATCCAGAGCCTGCCCAGGATTACCCTCATCACACGCCCTGTCTGACTGCATTGCTAAAACAGAAACCATCTGCCATGTACAACAAAGCTTTCCTGTCTGTTCACATGGGCCTAGGATCCAGTCACTGATGACGGATGAAACCATGTAATAAAGCATCTCTAGGGGAAGGCTAGGGCTCCTCTAGTCTTTTGCCTGGGGCTTAAACCCTGCCTCACAGTTCTCCCTTAAACCAGATTCACTTTTGCTTTTCCTTCTGGATAAGGCTGTTTCATTTAGCAAGTCAGAGAGCCTTTGAGAAGGTAGGTAAAGCCAGGGGTAGATTTAGAAAAGGCTCAAGGGCCAAGGGAAAATTTGAAGTCTTAGACACACAAGCCTGTGGGCCAAGGGCCAGGACTCCTCTTTTATAAATCTGCTCCTGTTCTTCTATTTTTTTGTTGTTGATTTTTTTTTTTAGAGAGAGAGAGAGAGAAATATCAATTGGCTGCCTCCTGCACACTCCCTACTAGGGATTGAGCACACAACCTGGGCATGTGCACTGACTGGGAATTGAACCAGGACCTCTCAGTCCATGGGACTGATGCTCAATCCACCAAGCCACACCAGCCAGGCAAATCTCCTGTTTGAAGCAGTTAAGTAGGATTAGTTAGAGACCAGTTGATATAAAAAGCCCCATAGCACTTCTGTTCCCTAAGAAGGGCTCTTTGGAAAGGGAGGGAGGCTGTGATATCTCAGGGGAGATGAGACTATATTTAATCCAAGAGGGCCTAGATTTAGGAGCATGAGGCAGGGCCTTACTAACAGCTGCTTCTCTTTCCAGTCATTCCAAAATGGGAGAGCAAATGCATAGCAGCTTGTTGCTGCAACTCAAAAGGATGGGGATAGCCAGCAGGAATAGGGGGTGGGGGGTGGGGAGGAGGGGGGTGTATTAGTCTCTTCGGCACTCCCACTGTGGCCCAATAGCCATTTCACCCTTGCTCTGGAGAGGGTGATGTTTAGGCTCTTTATTTACCTGCTGCCTTTCATCTGCAATCTCCAAACACTTTACTTTAATAACACCTCTTGTTAATTTAGTGCTTCTCTCCTAGGAGCCTAAAATACTTGCTCTAGATGATCTCTTTTATCTTTGTGACAGTGCCAGAAGGGAGGGTGGGGACCTGATTATATCCATTCCCTCGGATGGAAGATGGAGTACAAGGGGATGAGGGAGATGAGACACAGCCAGATGGAAGCCAGGAGTTCTGACGCTTGTGTTCTTTTGGGAGGATGAGAGGAGGACTCTGGACTGGCCTGTCGCTCAGGAGCCTTCATGTCATCTCAGCTTCCTCGCTCCCTAAGCAGCAATTTCCCCAGGCCTGCTGGAGCCTGGCATCCAGGAAAGCGGCCATGTGCTTGATTTTCCACTGGGAACCTGGGGCTGATCTTATTAATCTTGCTGCTGGAAATGCTGTCAAAACTGGGGCACCTTAAAGGGTGACTGCAGTGGCTCTTGCCACAGGCAGGCGCAGCCAGCCCGCCTCTACTGTAGCCCCTTGCCCTGAGCTCCGAGATAACAGCCAGGGCTGGGGACGAGAGCACGCTGCTCCCACTGACTCGGAAGGACCAGCAACACATTCCTGTAGCTTCAACTATTTGGTCTGAGGAAAGACAGTTTACACAGGGAGCATGAGGCTGGATTTGCTCACCACCACAACGCCCTCCTGTTCGAAAGCCCATTGGGCTTTGGAGTTAGCACTCCCATCCAGCCATACAGGTCACTGCAGCTGCTCCCTCTGCTCCCCACTCCTCTCTTCAGCTCCTGGTGCCTGTGACCTTCCACCAGGAAGGCAAAGCTGGGGCCCTGGGCTCAGCCCTTGGCCCTGCACTAGCTGACTGCCTTCTCCTATGACTGGAGCCGGCTGCACTTGAAACTCCCTGCTGCTCTATGCAAAGAACTTCCTGCCCCAAGCTGTTGGCAGCCCAGCTCCCCTACCTGCCCTGTGGCTGGGTCAAGGTGTGGACTGGCCTGGGAGCCTGCCTAGTGAAAAGGAATGCGTGAAGGCTCAAAATAAAAATATAGTGCTGTGTGGACCAACTAGTCTGCTAGTAGAAAGTCTATCCCCCCTTCTTCCGGAAGCCAGAGGAGAAAAATAGCCAGTAGTTGTGAAGGAAAGGGTGACCCTGTGGCTGAGGCTCCTCCCTGCAGGCCATCACTAGAATACAAGCTGGTGAGCATATGTGTACACATACTTAGTTACTGAGGGCTGACCCTGTGCCAGGCACCATTTAGAGCAGGGTTTACAGCCTGGCTGGTATGGCTCAGTTACTTGGGTATCATCCTGTGCACCAAAAGGTTGCCAGTTCAATTCCTGGTCAGGGCACATACCTGGGTTGTAGCTCCATCCCCCGTGAGGTGGTGCTGGAGGCAGCTGATCGATGTTCCACTCTCGCATCAATGTTTCTTTCCCTCTCACTTCTCTAAAAAATCAATTAAATATTTTTTAAAAGCAGAGGTTCCAGAAAGAATGGGACACAGTCCTTGCTCTCAAGGAACTCGCAGTCATTGGGAAAGGTATGGCCTGCCTTGCTCGGGCGAGCTGAGAACCTGACAGCGTCCCTCCCTGCAGCGGTGGGATGGGCCGATGATGCAGGCCTTGTTCCGGAATGTCTGGCTGGCCTGGAAGCTGAGCACTTGGGAACAGGCCTGGATAACCTGGACTCTACCCAGGCAGTTGTTACCTCGGCAACCCACGGCTGATGCCCTCATCCCTGGCACCTTGACCTGCTCCATCTCCAATCTCAGCTGCCCAAGTTACCGAACAACCCCACAGGCTGAGTGCTATGAGTCACAGCCCTGGGTCCCTCACCAACCCTTGGTTCCCACACCTAGGAGTTCAGAACTAAAGATGCAGGTCTGGGTGCTTCAGGCAAGAGAGGAGACATCAGGCCTCTCTACCAAGAGACAGAGACAACCAGGAACCAGACTTTCAGAAAAATTCTAGAGAGGGCACCTGTGTGGGGACCCAAGGTGAGACTGAGGAGCCTGCCTGCTCCCACCATCTGCTGGGAGGGTCAGGGAGCCACTAAAGAGCCAAACAGCCCCAGTGGTGAAATCACTCCCGGGAACTTGCCCTGTGACCTTCTGGTTTGCCCAGGGTCCCCAGACAGCCTCCTCTCTTCCCACCCCCAAACCTCCCTGGGCACACTTCCGGGGAAGAGTGACAAGCAGAGCTGGGATGGGCCCCAGAGAAATGTGCTGCAAGTCAGAGCCTGTGCCAGGAGAGGGGCCTGCTCCACCCTCCTCACTTCTCACATGGGGTTCCCCTAAAGCTCCTCCCAGATACACACAGAAGGAGGAGCACAACCCTGCACCTCCAATCGGGAGGGATGGTGGGGCGGACACCGCTGCCTCCGACATTGCCCTTTTAAGAGCCCCCCCTCCACACACACACACACACACACACACACACACACACACACACAGAGGCGGGGTTGCTGCAGGCAGGTTCATGTTGCAGAAACCCTGGACTGAGCTCCTCATCCACCTGCAGGAAAGGAGACCCAGGCACCAACCCTGCCAGTTCTCATCCTCTAGGTCCCCGGACCTTCCTGACAGAGGTAGGGGTCCCAGCAACCTCTGATTCTGAGAAGCCTGTTGTTCTGGAAGGGACGTTTCTCTTCACTGCTCTGATTGTTTGGCTGACAAGCCCTGCATTTTGGAAAGCTGTCCGGATCCCTCCATAGAACTGGGCTGCCCACCACTCCAGTAAACCTGCTGTCAGAAATGGTCTGGAAAAAGGTTTTCCTGGAAGTGTAAATTGCTGAAAGATGGTCTGACCCTCCAGGGAGACTGGTTGTCTAAACCCTGAAGAAAGGAAAGAATTTAGTACCCATTCAGAATAGCGTTCAATCCTTTTCTCCTTCCATCTTCTCTGAGAAAAAAAAAAATTTTTTTTTCTATCCTTTCTCCCACCAGCCCTTGTCTACCTGTGCCCTGGGTCTCACCGTCCTCCTCCAGTGTCGCTGAGTCCCCGTTCTTCAGCTAGCTCTCCCATCACTCCCCTCCCCACCCACTCCCCTCAACACAGCAGCCCGTTCACATCCCCCCACCTTGAAGCAGCCTTCCCGCCACCCTGCCCCTGCTGGCAACCCTGATCCCACCTGGCTCCTTGCCCTGCGAGATAAAAGTGGGCACTTCTAGGCTCTGCGCCTCATCCACATTCCGGGCTCCACCCTCTCCGAGGGAAGGTGGAATGTTCCAGACAGAGGGAACAGCATGAAGAAGCAGGAAGAAGGCCCCAGTTCGAGTGCAGAGCGAGGGGAGGGGGATAGAGGCTAGAGAAGTGGGCAGGATAAAGAGTTCGTGCCCACACCTGAGTGCCAGTTTTCACGTTCCCCAGGGTGCTGGCCTCTCCCTGCTTTCTCTGCATGCTCTCCGCCTCTGACCCCAAATTCAGGATCTCTCAGGAGATTATGCATTTCAGGATCCCCCCCACACACACACACACACACCTCCCAACATACACATTGAGTCTCTTCACCACCAGGATCACAAAACCAAAAGTTCAAGTCTGACTTCTTATCTGGTCCACTCTTCTCTATTCAGGTACCCAAAACAAACTCCCAGGAGTCACCCTGGACCACCCCCTCATCTGCAGCAGCCAGCCTCACACAGTCCCACTGAGTCCCTGTATCACTCAGATCTGTCCCTTCAGCTGGCCTGCCAGACCCCAGGCCCTCCTCCCGTGGGACTACTCCCTGTGCTGGAGTGGTCTGTGGATGCTACAGCCTTGATTGCCCTCCCCCCCAAAGCACTTGGGATATTCTCAGCACAGTCCGGCTCCACACAACTGTGGCCACAGTTCAGATGAACAGGCCCTTTTCTGCTTGTCCTCACCTCAAGCTCTAAGCTCCACCTGACTGCTCAGCTCCCCCAGCACTGACCATGCATGGCAACCCTCCATATGTGTTCACGCTGTGCCCTCTGCCTGAATGCCATTCCCGCTGCCTGTCTGTGGAATTCCTCCTTCCCCTTTAAGGGGGTTCAAATGCCACCTCCTTTCCAAAGCCTTCCCTAGCCCTTCCCACCCCTCAGAGAAATATTAATGAATACAACTCAACCAACGCATTTATCTCTGTCCACATTGGACTGGCTGCTCCTTGAGGCCAGAGCTGGAGTTTTGTTCATGTGCATCCCTCTCACACCTCAGTCTGCTCTGGTAAACTGAACAAC